AAAAAAAAAAAAACCAAACCCTTATATAGGTCAATTCTAATGTTTTCTTAGTGTCTCTCTTGCTCTACTAAACCTTACTAACACCAAGAATAAAGTCTATTTTTGAAAATATTTTGTAACTTCAGTTAAAGAGGACCTTATATTGAGAGAAAAGTTTGTAAGAATCCTACAGCATACCATTTCTTTAATTCTCTGACCTTCTTTTAGTTGTTAGGACGAACTTGGAGTTTATCTAGTAGTGAAGATAGCTTTGTGCTGCACCGTTTTTCATTCTTGCTTAATCTTCTTGCGAACAAAAGCCGTTTTTTATGATGTCCTTTGGTCTGCAATGTGTAGCTATGAAATACAGTTTTTCTCTCCAACATTTACAGACACAAATGTGGATTACATCCCAGGTTTATAACGAGCACTTATTCTTATATTTCTTTAGTCATAGCAGTTGTGTGAACTAGCCAATCTAACTGTGTCATATTACTATTATTATTATTCCTGCTATTAATTACTTCATTCATAATGTTGCCAGAAGCTTTCTCAAAGCACAAAAATAAACTTGTTTGTTTTACATTCAGGATGATCTACAGAATAAGACGCAATGTCATTATGCTGTCTTCTCTCAAGTGAAGTGGATATATGGTTTTATCAAGGAGAACAGTGTTTCCAGAAACCCTTTAAATATTTCTGATTTGAAAAAATTATGTATGAAAAAGAATAATAAAATAAGTCTTTTGTGTTCTGTTGTGAAAAGTGAATAACTTATCTTAGCCAACAAACTAAATGTTTGTAAAAATACCTAAAATCAGAGCAGTAGTATTTGACTGGAGAAGAATCAGTCATAATATATTCAGTCTTTAAAAATTTATTCTAGGCTGAAAAATAGCCATAACAATTTTTTGTAGACCTCTGATTGATAGTTTCTTTTCATTAAAATGTTCGTGTTGTAGCATTAGGTAATTGGACTCAAGTGACATACCGCATTTTCTAGTATCTGATCACCTATTAGAAAAAAACTTTTTTACATATTTGTTCCTCAATAGTGCTGTTTTGTCGGGTTATTAGTTATTTAGATTGTATATTTTCAATACTAACAGTAAGCTGTGTTTTATAGGATGATAGCAGTGACGATGGATTCCTTGCCGATGACAATTGCAATTCAGAAATAGGACAGTGGCATTTAAAGCCTACTATCTGTAAACAGTAAGCATTGACTGTATATCTTGCAAACTATATGATAATTTTTATTTACATACTTTCATAGAATAAAACACGACTAGACAGTTTTTATTTAAACAAGGGCTTAGGCAAAAGTCACAAAGGCTATCAGGGTCAGTGAGGAAAACTGGGTGTCATGCTCAATGTCCAGGGATAAGGTTGGGGAGAAAGGATAATCTTTTCAGTCCTCTGTTTGCCCATTTTCCATGTTTGTGTGTGCACATACATTTCCATAGAGAGCCACTATTCCTTTTGGATATATAGTGATTTGCAGCAGAAAAGGACAAAGAACTATCCTTGAGATCAGTAACATTTGAATTGGCATTTACACTGGTTCCATAGTTACTATGTGAAGACTGTGGAGTGACTGAAGGCAGTCCCCAGGAACATGTACCAGATGGGAACCCCAGATGAGAAGGAGTCTGTTTTGCTTCTCAGCAGTACAGGTTCTGAGGTCTTTCCAGGGGCTCCAAACTTCTTAGGTGATGAAGTATTTATTACCTAGTTCTAGATTTCACCTCTTTTGACTTTTTTGTAGAAAATGTTGGCTGCAACTCCCATTAACAGCTTTGAAAAGCAAACTTTGTTAAAAGAAAATATAGAGACCTAGAGCAGTTAAGAGATCTGCGCCAAATCCCATAAAATTGCAGCCAGGAAGAACTTAAATTTTTAACATTCCAAGACTTTTGCACTACGTTAGACTTCCTCACTTATTTGAGTTTACAACAAAATTTTCAAGGTTGAGTGTTATTTATGTTGAGTGTTCTCAAGTGGAATCTTGCAAAAAACACTGAATTTTAAACTAATTCTTGGACTGGCCCGGTGGTGTAGCAGTTAAGTGTGCACGCTCCACTTTGGTGTCCTGGGGTTTTCATTTTCCCAACCCTCGGCACGCACCAACACACTGCTTGCCAGGACATGCTGTGGTGGCGTCCCACATAGAAAAAATAGAGGAAGATTGGCACAGATGTTAGCTCAGGGCCAATCCTCCTCACCAAAAAAAAAAATATATATTTAAAAAATAATAAACTAATTCTTGGGGCCAGCCTGGTGGCGCAAGCGGTTGGGTGCGTGCGTTCTGCGGTGGCCCGGGGTTCGCCAGTTCGGATCCTGGGCGCACTGATGCACTGCTTGGCAAGCCATGCTGTGGCAGTATCCCATATAAAGTGGAGGAAGATGGGCACAGATGTTAGCCCAGGGCCAGTCTTCCTCAACAAAAAAAAGAGGAGGATTGGCAGATATTAGCACAGGGCTGATCTCCTCACAGAAATTAATTAATTAATTAATTAAAAAGGAATAAAGTTAAAAAAATTAATTCTTTTACGTGATGATAACCTGTTCTGTTAACTGGTAATAATAGTAAGTTTTAGTTAAAAATGGGATTATTTTCTTCTACTTTTGCATGGTCTCACCTTTGGTTATTTTGGAATATAGGGATGTTCCAATTTTCAGTATTGTTTTGAATTTTTACTAAATTTTGAAGTATTTTTAGGAACCAACTATGGAACTTAAGTGAAATATATTCATAACTAAGATATGGTTAAATTAATATTCTATAATTCAGTATTTAATATACCCATAGATACTTAAGTGTTATTAGGATGTATGTGCCTATAACGTTTATTTTTTCCCCCTAAGTTTTACTGAGGCATATAAAGGGAATTTTGAAGGGTTTAAATTTTATTGTTAATATGCATCTTTTTATGCCTTTTTAACATTATAAAGTGTTAACATTCGGTCATTTCTACCCTGCAGACCTTGTATCCTACTGATGGACTCACTCAGAGGCCCTTCTCGGTCAAATGTTGTAAAAATTCTAAGAGAGTAAGTTCAAAACTTTGTACCTTGTACTTTGTATTCTGGTGCAAATGAGGGACTATGTATATGTATATTCTCACTATGTATGCATTATTGCAGGTATTTAGAGGTGGAATGGGAAGTTAAAAAAGGAAGCAAAAGAAGTTTTTCCAAAGATGTTATGAAAGGCTCTAATCCAAAAGTACCCCAGCAAAACAACTTCAGTGATTGTGGTGTGTACATATTGCAGTATGTAGAGAGTTTTTTTGAGGTGAGTTTCAGTTTGTTGGATCTGATATAATAAATAATAAAATACTGTATATGACCTTACATTAGTGTAAAAAGCACAATAAGCAAATATTTTAAAGAGTTTGAAAACTATCCTTTCAAAAATTATTTCAGGGAGCAAAAACTCCCAAATTGGAGAATTTTTAAGGGATAAAATGACTATTTATACTTCATCAAACCTAAGGCTTGTTGACTTCATTCCTCGTCGCTGATCAACTCTGCCTCTCCGCTGGCTTTCTCCATCTTAAGAAATCTCTCCCATGAACTCGGACCACCTCTTTTACTCTCTTTTCTCACCTTCACAGATATATTTCTGGAGAAGTATTTATATTCACTGTCTCCATTTCCACAAATCCTACCTGCTTCTCAAATCTCTATAATGTGGCTTCGTCTCACCCTTATGTTGAAATTGTTTCTGACCTCTCAGCATCACTTGACACCGCTGACCATTCCTTCCTCATAACACTCTCTGCCTTTGACTTCAGAGGTACAGTACCATGCATACCTCTCTTGGATATTCTTTACAGTTATCTTGACTCCTTCCTCTTCATCCACCATCCAGTGTACCACTAAGTCCTGTGAATTCTGTCACTTCCTGTCAGGTGTGTTCACTTCTTTATCCCGGCTGCCACTTTCTAAGTCCAGTACGCTAGCATTACTATTCTAAAGTGCTGCACCAATCTCTAACTAGGCCTCCTGCCTTCTATTTTTCACAGGTATTTTCCCAAAACCCAAATCGAACCATGTTACTTCCCTGCTTTAAATTTTATAGTAGCTTCCTGTTGCTGTTGGCTTAAAGACAGAAATCCTTCCCATGATCTGCATGATCCAGCTGCAGTCCAGGCTTCCAGCCTCATTTCCTCCCTTTCTCACCGCAGCGTTTTGTATACCAGCCACCTGAGTGTCATTCTGTTTCTCGTATTGTGTCATGTTCTTTCTTGTCTCTAGGCCTTCATACATATTTCCATACCTAGAATACTCTTCCCTGTTGCTTCTCCCATTTTTTTATTTAGCTAACTTCTACGTATTCTTCAGGTCTTAGCTTAAATATCACTTCTTCTTGGAATTGTGTTAAGCCCCCAGATATGTATTCTCATAGGACCCTGTGCTTCTCTGTCATAATACTTGTCATATTCATTGATTTAATTGTTGAGTTGTCTGTCTAGACCAAGGTCAGCAAACCTTTTTATAAAGGGCCAGATAGGAAATATTTTAGGCTTTGCGGCTATACGGTCTTTGTTCCTGTTCTCGGTTCTGCTTTTGTGGCATGAAAGCATCCACAGATAATATGTAAATGAGTTAGTGTGGCTGGTTCCAATAAGGCTTTACTTACAAAAACAGGCAGTAGGCAGAAGTTGGGCCACTAGCCACAGTTTGCTGACCCCTGATGTAGACTATAAGATCTGTAGGCAGAAACTGTCATAGCTTCAGTGCCTCACATAGTGCCTGGCATGTAACAGATAATTAGTAAATACATATTAAATGAGTTATTGATTTTTCATTTTTAACTCTCGAATGCTTTTGTGATTGGAACTAAAATATTATTTATTATAATTTTCTAATATGTATTTTAATATTTTTATTTTCAGAATCCAATTCTCAATTTTGAACTTCCTATGAATTTGGCAAACTGGTTCCCTCCCCCAAGAATGAGAACAAAAAGAGAAGAAATCCGAAACATAATTCTGAAGCTGCAGGAAGATCAGAGCAAAGAGAAGAAGAAGCATAAGGACACTTATTCGACAGAAACATCTTTAGGCGAAGGAACAGAACACTGTGTCAACAGCGTCTCAGATTGACCGTTTCTGACTTTCCCCTTTGGGTATAGACAGTAAAGAACTGAAGTACTCTCTACTCAGAGTGATTGGGAAATGTTAATGCTTGTATAAATGTCATATAATTAATTTCCAATGGAGTATGTATTAAGTAAAAGTCTGTAAATATGTTAATGAGGCCAATTTTTCCAGCATTTATAATTATTTTTTTCACTTGTTAGGAAGCTTTTGTTATGTATTTTCTGTTAATAGTACTTAAAACTGCAACTTCTAAACACAAAATAAATAAAAAGAAAATATTTATAGGAGGAAATGATTAATTTGATATTCTTTGTGAACTTGTATTAAATCCTCAGGGGGTGTGATATATTTCATGGGAATATTTGAATATCTATGATAATCTTTTGACCTTTTGCATTTGTTCTAAAATAACTTGAAATATGGAAATAAGATTAAATCTAAAGCATTTTGAACAAGAAAGACATCTTCATATGCTTGTATACCAGGAAAAAACAACAGCTTTTTAATTCAGACACTCCCTTGTGTTCCGAGAACCCCAAAAATGTAATAAATATTTATATTTTACACAAATATTTAAGAAGCAGTATTAAAAGCAATTCAAAGAAAAATAACCTAGAATTATACTACTAAATAACTATCCTTTATCATATATTATTGTCAAGAATATTTATGAAGACATCAGAGGCTCCAGTTAAAACTATTTTGGGAAGTGCAGCTTGAATTTCAAATATCCCTTGTTACTTTTCTATGTTAGAGCTTAAAGTATGCTACAATCTGTGTGATATAGTGAATTGAAAAACACTTTTAATCTGTGAGAACACAGGAATTTAAATAGGAGTTTACTATTTTTTATAATGGCTTTTGCTATTTTTTCATTGCTCATTTTGTTCTTGTTATTTTGATAAAGTATCAGACTTCTGTGCTTGAGTTTCTTAGTGTAAATTTTTACATGTAAAAGTACTGTCTTTAATCACTTGCATGGTGCTGAAAAACTCTACCTTGAATTCCCCTTTAAAAATACTAAAGTGTGGTGTTTTTGATGACATTTACAGCTCATGTAGGGATCTTGCATATATCTGCTGAAACTATTATTTTCAGATGAAATGTTATACATTTCTTTCAAATTAACTGAGACTTGAAATATATATTTTAAAAGTCATTTTTTGTTAAATAATGAATTTTAAAATGCACATATAACAAAAGTAGTTGAAAACAAAAGTAGTTGAAAATAAAAGGTAGGCCATTTTTGTCATTAGCAGTTATTTTATTTTTAATCTAGCCATCTCTGACATTGCGACCAACATTTTAGGCTATTTTCTTAAATTTAACAAAGTCCTTAGGTGTGTTTTGGGTGGATGGGGGTGTTGTTAACAATAACAACAACAAAAAAATTGATTGAGACACACTCATTAAGGGAAACATTAAAATGTAAGCTTAAGGAAGATCACTATTAGTATCAATTACAGATTTGTTACTTGGAACTATCAGCATTTTTTATTTCTGATTACATTATTTTTTTAGGAATACTCTAGAGCTATAAGCTCCAATATGAAAAAACAAGAGTTTCATTTTATTATTTACTGAATATGGACAGAAAATGGAAATTGTTTTTTTAAAAAAGCTAATAGAAGTAAGCAAAATTGGCATATTTAATTTTTTTTAATGTACTGTGTTTTGTCAGAATTTGAAGGTACTGAAAAAACCATTCTTTTTTTTTTTTAAAGATTTTTATTTATTTATTTTTCCCCCCCAAAGCCCCAGTAGATAGTTGTATGTCATAGCTGCACATCCTTCTAGTTGCTGTATGTGGGACGCAGCCTCAGCATGGCCAGAGAAGCATTGCGTTGGTGCGCACCCGGGATCCGAACCCGGGCTGCCAGCAGCAGAGCACGCGCACTTAACTGCTAAGCCACGGGGCCGGCCCTGAAAAAACCATTCTAAAATGCTTATTTGTTTTTAATTCCTAATGGTTTTTTTTTTTTTTTCGTGAGGAGGACTAGCCCTGAGCTAACATCCAATGCCAATCCTCCTCTTTTTTGCTGAGGAAGATTGGCCCTGGGCTAACATCCCTGCCCGTCTTCCTCACTTTATATGGGACACCGCCACAGTATGGCTTAACAAGCAGTGCTTCGGTGTGCGCTGGGGATCCGAACCTGCGAACCCTGGGCCGCAAGAGCACCTAACCGCTTGCATCACCGGGCCAGCCCCCCTAATGGTTTCATTTTGCACTCTTAATATTTGGTAAGATAAAAAGATAATTTGTTCTTTGGGCCAACTCAAGTCAATCACGTTTTGACATGAAAAATATAGATTGATGTCTGTCAACTTTCTAGAGGTAGAGTATCCAGATATTTGATATTTCATTCACCCCATGTAAAATTCTATTTCTTAAAGTAATGCTAATGACTCAGATATATATATATAAAATCAATCTTTGGAGACTCAGGTTGAGCTCCAAAACTAGACTTGAGAATCTTCGGTATGTATGCACATTTACTTGGTAATTGTGTACACTGGTACTTCTATGTGTACTTTAAAGTGGATATCAACCTTTTACAGTGTGTTATTAGTACTTAGAAGTTGTGAAACAGAATTTTAAAGTTTAGAGGTTTGTTACTAGATACTGAAACTGCATGACGAGTATCTGGTGTCTTAACTAATTAGATAGATCTCTTGTATTTGTTTTCTTGTTGGATAGAATAACAGTTAATCATTTTTAGAAGAGTTTTAGATTACTTACCATAAAATTTGTATGTGTCTTAGCTCTTGGTAGTTTAGGAGCAAAGGTGGCATTTAGCTAGTCCTTTCCCTTTGATGTTGCTAAGACAGCTGAAAACAATGGTATTATTTCAAGTTCACATAAACCTAAATCAGTTAAGCATAGTAACCTGTGCTTAAACTATTAGTCAATTAATTGTAGGAGGTTTTATTTGAAAAGATAAAATAATTACCTAAATTATATCTTGTTTTAAATCACCAAAATGAATTCAGTAGTTTTTTCTTTAAAAAACTATGATCTCTGAAGACTGTAAGATATAAAAAGAATAATAGTTTTAATTTCCCAGAAATCAAAAATTGTACTTAAAGTCTCAGACAAGTCACTGACCAGGAATAATAATAAATATACTGTAATATATAAATATACGAGTAAGGTTGGTGGAGTAAAGCTGCTGGGATATAATGAGAGAAAGGATAACTTGGTTAGACAGAGAAGGCTCGGGAGATGAGGTAGTGCTGTGCTGCGTCTCTGGGGGAGTCACATAACCAGGGTGCTCTGCAGACCAGAGGCCACAAGGAGAGGGAGGGGCTTCTGGTGGGGGACGCTCAGACCGTCGGGCCAGGTGAAGAGGATAGTTCACCCGTAAGACAACCACCGCACAGAGGCAAGACCAGACTGTATCGGGAAATGTAAACTACTAAAGAATGTGCTGGAATACTCCAGCAGGACTTCCTGGTACGTTTGTTGTTTTCCTACTCCCAGGAAGAAGAAAAAGTGTTAGGAAAACTGCTCTTTGAAACTTAAATTTAACCACAGAGGAAGAATTGGTTGATCAAGTGGAAAAAATGTGTACCTTGGGAAAAAGTAGTCCTCTCATCTTAATTATGATAAGCCAGATCAAGGAATAATGGTAGAGTACCCTAAACTACTCTTAAGGAAGTGAAGTGCAGTATACTCAGGAGAATACCGCAGACCCAGGGCCTGAAGCAGTTAAAAGCTTAGAGGTCCTGACTGTTGATTGCAGACAACAGTTAAATTGTCCTTACTGCAGATGGTTACGGGGAGGAACGTGTTATTCCAAACAAGGAATTTTGACTAGAAATGTGCATCAAAATCACTTGGGGAGCTTTTCAAAATAATTTCTCAAGTAATTGTGGTATACGTCTCCTGTGTCAAGCCGCTGATTTGAAAAGATCAGTATGTTGCCAGACAGCTTTCAAGTTGCTGGTCGCAAAGGTCATAAGGTTCATCCGCTTCTCTTCTCAGATGCCTCAAGATACCACTTAAACCCCGTCTGCCCCAATGCTCATTACGAACTTGATAGACAAGGTTATTAAATTGCTTTTACTAAAGCCTTGAGGAATTATGAAAGAAATTATTAAGGTTTTCAAAGGTTAGAGACTGGCAGATATCCTGTTCTTCAGAAGGAAGGAAGGAGATTTTGCAAATTACAAGTTAGAACACACAAACTCTTGGTAAGATGCTAAACTGAATTATTAAATGGACGGTTTGTGAACTCTTAATGGGAACTCCTAGAACACCAGGAGTTATGGGACCACTACAATCAAGGTGGTTTTATACTTTTAATAGAATTCTGGACCAGTCCATCTGTAGAATGCAGCCAGACTAGCCGTTCTTCAAGTGCACTTGATAACTAGTTTTGAGGGATATTTATAAGTTACTTGGTCAAATAAGCTTGGAAAACATTTAAACCAAGTTAAGCACGTTATTTGGAGCTTTTAACATGCTAGCATGCAGAATGATTAAATGAGGAAAATATAGAACACAGCATGCTAGATATAGAATTTGGCCATATCCGGGCCGGCCCCGTGCCTTAGCGGTTAAGTGCGCACTCCACTGCTGGCGGTCCGGGTTCAGATCCCGGGCGCGCACCGACGCACCGCTTCTCCAGACATGCTGAGGCCACGTCCCACATACAGCAACTAGAAGGATGTGCAACTATGACATACAACTATCTACTGGGGCTTTGGGGGGAAAAAACAAAAAAGGAGGAGGATTGGCAATAGATGTTAGCTCAGAGCCTGTCTTTCTCAGCAAAAAGAGGAGGATTAGCATGGATGTTAGCTCAGGGCTGATCTTCCTCACAAAAAAAAAAAAAAAAGAATTGGGCCATATCCTCTTTCTCCCCTTGATGAGTTCTCTAAACTTCCTTATAAATACTACCCATCAGAAGACAGATTAACTATTTGGAGGTATTTGTGAACTGAACTTTAAGAGAAGATGCTTTTGCAGCTTATCTGAGGTTGGTTGGTTTATTGCATTTTATTATAC